CACGCACTCACCTTCCCCAGCTGCTGATGGACACTCAGGTTGTACATCATCACGATCCCGTCCACGATCTCCAGCAGCGACTTGTCTGCAATTTGTTGATCGGGCTCCTCGAGCGGTCGCCCCAGCAACAGGCCGTCGTTGCCATGACTTCCCTCGACTTCAGGTTGCAGAGAAACAGGAAATGGTTAAAAAAGGCAAGAGATTTTTACAGCTGTGGCACTTCCACCCAAAGACTCAGGCGATGATAACTGGCTCCACGCCAACTTCACGCTGTGTCTAACCGGCCAATCAGGCACGAGCGCCTCATTTGTCTAATGAAGGAAACAACCAGAGACCAACTTAGTCTGGGCCAACAGCGAAAAATAATGATGTGAAATCAACAGGACACCTGACACACCCCAACAGGAAGTGACCCAATTAAAGCTCCCAGCACACGAATACCTCGTAAAGCTGAACACCCGGGCTGAAACCACGTGGTATGAAACACACTGGTGGACATCGCGAGGGATTGATCCACCTCCATCCACGCTCTGTCCCACCATCCAGAACCAGAACGCAGGAACCAATCACTTCTTCTCAAACGTCTCCAACACTGTCACTGACAAAGTACTTCCTGATATTTTACCTGGCAGATTCCTCTGCTGCTTTGTTTCCTGCCATCACCATGCTTACTCTGATCACAGTGCTGGGTGCAGAAAGGAGAGCGTGGCTGAACATTTATCACTACTTTCGATTGGAGGATGAAGTGGAACAACACGCAGACTCCAACTGAAAGATGGAAGCGCAGACGTTTTCCTGCAGCGATCACGCCTGCGAGGACGGCTCGGGCCCTTCTCTCACTTTGCTCGTCTCCTGCACGCCGGTGTCATTGCACCACAAATGCAAAAACTGAGCGAGAGGGGCTGCTGGTGTGTGTGTGTGTGTGTGTGTGTGTGTGGGTGTGTGTGGATAATAGCAAACACTGAAATTATTTCTTTGCACGCAGGAATGAATTTTGTTCACTCAAATTCAGCTTTTCTTCGCTCAAAATAAATTTCTCCTCAAAATGCAACACTTGCACCTGCAAACCTTTTTACGTGCGCTCAGAATAGTGGCACAAAAATAACGCCATACATCCACAGAGGAAGTGACTCGCTCGTCACGTTGACGCCTACGTGAACCTCACACAATTAAATTCTGATTCTCACTTCCTAAAAGCTCCACGCAAAGCGAGCAAATGCGGAAGTGATCCCCTGTGTGGCTGTTCATCACGCCTGTAAAAGCAAACTTCCTGACAAATCACTGACCGCCTGCTGTCAGCAGGGGGCGCCACGCACTGCCACATAGACCTGCTTCGTATTTTCAAACGCAGGAGAAGCTCTGAGCAAATGGGCTGATGCCCGTGAGTAGGGCTGGGCCATATTATACCGTTCACGGTAATACCAGTATAATGTTAGGAAACGATAGGAAAATGAAATATCGCGATAGAATAAGAGTAAAACGTGCATGCGCAGTGCCTTTGTTTTCATACACATGGCCGATTGTTGAGTGAAACAGATGAACCAGAATTGGTTTGTAAAAATGGTGCAACTTCAGTGATGTGGAACTGGTTTGGTGTTTGTCCGGCAGATACACAACAAAGCACATTTTTTGCAGAACATGCAAGCGGCCGTCGTTATTGTCGTATTTGTCGGACTAAGATGCTCTTAAATCTGGGTCCTAAACTCCGTATGCTTCAGGTCAAACAACACTGCAGCATCACTGAGAGTTAAAAACTGTCTAAATTCTTTCATCTTTAATAAAACGATCAGCATTGCTGCTTTACCAGGTGTAACTATGAAGTTTAACTTCCAGGCATCCATGAAAACAAAAGTTATTACATTTAACGGAGTTAGAAGTTAGCAGGAAGCTAGCGGAAGTTAGCTCGCTAGTTTCGCTAGTTACCTAAGCATGATATAGCATGTTCTGACTGAGAGATTTCTGAAACAATTCAAACGTACAGCTCTGCTATCACTTCCAACTCATTCACTGCCAATGGCTGGCAGTGAATGAGTTAATAAAGTTTGATTTATCTGACTGCTTTGTTTCGCTTAATGTGCCTTATAATCCCGTGCACCTTATGGTCCGAAAAATACGTACTGCACACTGCAGTTTAATGTTGCAAAGCAGCTCTTTTTAACTTCAGTGGATATTATACATGGTTATGCTCAGGATATGTCAGCCCATTTCTACTGGAAATGCCTTTTGGTTAAACTTTCAGCAAGGAATTTGCATTTGCACTGTTACATTTTTATAAAGCTTTAATGTACATAAAAACCAGCTTCTTGTTTAAGTGAAAATAAATGGAAGGTTGTCTTTTTGCGCTAGTAATGTTGTGGAGTTGTATTTTGTCTCGCATCAGTTATATCGTCGGTTATATCGTTATTGCAAATTTTCAAATATATATCGTGATCAATATTTTTGACCATTTCGCCCTGCTCTACCCGTGAGTTCCGTAGCAGGAGCGAGTTGTACTCACTGTCCTCCTCGGTGCGCTGCTCCACGGCGAGCGTTCGGACCTTCACCTTCTCCGGCTGACTCAGGGGTCGCCTGGGGGTCATCAGGCTGACGGCGGCCGTGCTCAAGAAGCGGTTGGCCCGACCCAAAGTGGGAGAACTTAACCAGCTGGGCCTCGCCAGAGCTCCGCCCATCGCCACGGCCCCGGGAAGCCTCTGTGGTCAGACGAAAAAAAAAAAGTGATGTCAGAGGATCAGGAGGTCAGAGGTCACAGCTGTCTGCACAGATGTTTGGTCACACATTTAGAAACTATGGATATTAAACATCAGTGAGGATAATTTTTTAAAGCTTGTTCTTTAAAAAACGAGTGGACACGTTTTACCTCACTTCCTGTCTAACCCACAGTTTCAGCTAGGGCAGCCAATCGGGGGAGGGGCTTAAAGCAGTACGGATTAAAACCACGATCAGTGAACGGGAACAATGAAGACAAATGGAAGCAGCCTGAGAGAAACATGGACGAGGCTCTCCGTCAGACGCAGCTAGCTGTGCTTCACATCTGCAGCTGCCACGCCTCTGCACGCCCTGCAGAGCCACCCGTCAGCTGGTTCTGGTCTCGCCACGCCAACATTTTGCAGCATGTCATCTTCAGAGCGGCTCACTGAAGCCTCGCAGGTTTGACATCGGTCTTTGTGGGACTGCAGGTTATCCTCAGCCCACAGAAACAGGTGCGTGCACAGGCTAAGACAAAGCGGGCGTGCCGTCACCGGCGGCGTTAGATCGGCTCTCCAACTCAGAGCGTGCACGCCATAAAAATGTTTCATGGTTTTTAATGGCGGCAGAACGTGTTGAATCCATCGCCGTGCACTCGCTCTTCATAACGTTTACATGTTCCATCGTTTTATTTCAATATCTGGAAGTACTCGTGTACTTTTACACATACTGTTTATTCGGTGACACACAAACAAATGACATCACCACATCACCTGAGCAGCTCCGCTCTCGTCGTCCTCGTCCAGGTCGTCCATGGACGTGGCCTGGATCTCCGCGGGGTCGATGATGATGTTTGCTTTACTCGCCAAATCGTCTGAAAAAGAGAAAACAGGCACATTTGTCATGTTGTAGTTCTTCACTCATGAAAACAAACCCATCAGCTGAGTTTCATCAAGCTGTCTGCAGAAAAACGCCAACATCAGACGAGCACAGCTCTCACAGCGGCATTTTATATTCACTCAGACCCCAAAACACGATCAGAAAAGTTAAAAACCAAAGAAATACTTTTAAAAACAAACTGCAACCCTACATTAAAACTGAGTTTAGCCGTCCAGGCCAGCTCCCACCGGCTTCCTACGAATGTTCTGACCGCTGACGAGGTCAAACCGTCGAGCCGTGCCGGGCGCGTCAGGAGGAGACGGCCTCAGACTGATCGGAGACCAGCGTGTGAGCGTTAGCCAATGAGCATCAGCCTGACAGGAAGCTGGCAGTAACGAAGAAACTGTCACTGGTACTGAGAGTGAAGGAGGGCGGGTGTTAAAAGTCTGAGCTGACTGGCCCGTGCAGGAAGTTCCCGACCAATCTGCAGAGGACTTCCTCGACTAAACCTTCAGGAACACACGCTCGGGGCTGAAGTCACATCTTTACCGAGACTCAAAGTCAAACGTCCAAAATACAAATGGCTGTAAGTTGTTCGGGCTCCTCTTCATCATGAGCGACTGTAGGAGGAAGCGGCGTGCCCGCCTTTGAGAGGAAATGGAAGCGAGCGGGCCGCCGGAGCGGATAACTGATGGCAGTTGTGCAGCGCTGCCAGTGAGCACAACGGAGTGAATCAATCCACATTACACACCTGCTGATGGCGGCCTCATTTCTCCCCACGGAAACATCATTCAGACGCTTGCTCTTGATACTGAGGCGAAGCCCGCTGGCTCAGGACCATCGGCGCTCACCGCTAACCCCGTCACGCCTCTTGTATTTCATATCTGTGAGTCTGAGGCCTCGCCATCGTCAGTCAGTGTACGGGGGGTACAGACATCAAACACACCTGACAGGATCTCAAACGGTTCTTTTGGGTGATGGTTGGTGTATTTACCTCCTCTCGCCAACCCCGCCCCCCAGCTGCTTTCAACCTGATGGGGGGCAAACTGGTCAAACTGGTTACGTTAGAGGTTTCTATCCAACACGGAGCACTTGCTCCCTCTGGTGGAGACAGCTGTGATGACCAACTTCAGATTTGATCCAGTTATTAACGCGGGCGCGCTCGCCTGCTTCCAGCTCCCTGTCCTTCATCTTGAATGAGTTAACAATAATCCCTGTTTATGTGACACCTCTGTGCACCCTGCTTTAGCTCCTCCCCCTCTGAGCACCTTTGCTCCTGATTGGCTGCTCCTCACAAACTGAGTTCAAGATTCCTACGCAGGCACAGCTCGTCATTAGACAGACGTGACAGGAAATCAATGAAGGAGATCTTGAGAAAGGATTCACGCTCGCACACGTCACCAAAGCAGCGTCAGCTCGTCCAATCACGTTGTCCTGGGGCACTTCTGACTCTCCCAGCCGCCGATCAGCTGATCAGACACTGAGGGGGTCGGTGTGAAGTGACTCCTGCATGTCCCAGCGCTCTGGGCTCAGAGTCATTACCAAACACCTAAACTGACAACAGACACAGGATCA